TCATTGTCATTTGGACACAGGCCTCTAGAAAAGTGGCAAAGGAGCTTCTTAATGTCGCTCACCTGCCGTTGGCAAGCTACTACATTGCTCCTCTCTCCAGCCCGGGAATTGGGAATGCTCTTTATACTGCTCCTTATTTCAGACCTTGTGGCAACTCGTAAAGAAGCAATCCTTTTGAAGTCATTTGTGCTTCATATGTCTTTCTTGGAATATGTGCTTTTTCCCTAACTGCTTCGAGCACCCCGCGACAGCCGTCGATCGACCCGCCGTCGTTCGATACAGCTCCTGAACCGCTCCATGGGCATGCCTCCAGTTTTGTCCTGGGAGCTTGCCCTTAGAGCTTCTAAGACCAGCATGACCTCTGAGAAGCTCATCTGGTGCCTCAGCACTGGAGCTTCCGAACAGCAAAAGTGTCGGCCGGAAAGCGGCTGGATTGGAGTTGGTGGGTTTATCGAACATGTTCAAATCACGCTGGCCTAGGCTGAATGTCTGGATGCAATTTCTTGTTTTAAGCAAGAACATACAGGCTCACTGCTCATGGTCCTCCTTCTTGCCGCTTGACATGTTCATTCAAAAAATCCCTCTGCTGAGACCAGTGCCGTTTGCACAAGGCCATCGCCTGACAAGTAAGCCATACTTGTGAGCAAAGTAAGCCATACCATACCATGCTCTGTTGGTCAGTTCAAGCATATGAACCCGATCTGTTGGTCAAAAGACTCAGGAATGTTCTCTGAAACTTGTTTTCCATCTCTGGATTCTAGATCTGGCAAACACGAGGATGGCCGTACCATGCCGTACATCATGCACTGCAGGTTGGGAGAAGGAAACATTGGAATCAGCTTGGAAATTAAATAAGCCAATCAAATGAATCAACTCTGCTCCATGTATATACAAGTACTTATCAGTAATTACATACCAGTCAGTACCAGTACTGGAACAAAAAAAATCATTCGATGAAAGCAATGAAACCGTTCAGAGAATTTTCCAGAGGCTTAACACAATCTTAAGCCTTGGACCTTTAATTCTGACTGTCTGCTGCGAATGCAGTTGGGCTCTGGAAGGCTAAAGCCGATGCACTTCTTCCACGAGACTCCCTGCCTGCAGGCGCAAATCTTGCACGGGAGGCAATGTTGGAGCTGGGTGGCTAGCAGCACCTCAGCCACTTCGCTACGCTCAACGCTCAAGCAAGAAACGGTTGATCATTCCTTTAAAATTCAATTGTCAAGCAGATTCATGAGACGTGTTGGGGTTTCTTAAGTTGTTTTTCTGAACAAACCTTATGATTGTTTTCCATCCAGTTTGCATGAGACAAACACCTCCACTCGGCCAACCTCCTGCACCGGGGCAGCTCGGCGACATGACGGATCCGGGGCGTTGCTCCAGAGCAGTTTGTCTTCGTCACAAAGAGCCGAAGTGTCCGGGAACACGAGCCAAGTTCCCCAAACAATGAGATAACATCCGACGCGATCAGCATCTGCTTTCATCCCAAATGGAGCGACACCAAGCGACCAGGATCGAAGCGACCAGCGAGGCCTGTGGCTGTTCGATGCCGCGAGGCCTGAGGCTGCCACGAAGCTTCACGCTACTTCTTCGACGCTCTCGGCCCTGATGACCTGCGACGGTCTCGACAGGGGAACCGACGCGTCCGTCGATCTCACCGTTCCATCGAAGGGGACGGACGGTGAAGCAGTGAGGTTTACTAGTGAATGTCATTTCCGTGGGAGAAAAACTGTCACACACGAAAGCAAAGTCACCACATGATTCAGTATACAGTATATGCTTGTAAATATTATAATATGTACTTTTATGTATTCTACGTAATATACTAGAAATGTATAGTACAAATGTAATGTAATAGATCTTCACAGTTGACCGTGACCTGAAAACAATCTTGTCACCTTGTTGAGGTGAATCGACACATGGCATCCCCGAGGTTTTGAGTCTTTTCTGCCTGGGCAACTCCTTGTGACCTCAATCACCGGGCAACTCCTTGTGACTGCGATCATGAATATGTTCAGCCAGATCACATGGAATGGCAACTCTCGAATGAATTTGTTATGTCTTCATATCTTCATGTCGTTGTTTTGTCTAGAAGGAATCACATTTACTCTCACCGTCTCCTGGGTCAACCATGGCACAAAATCCATCAATAGGATTTTAACCGCATTCCCGCCTACCAGCGAAGCTCGCGTACCAGAGACAAGCATGGGCAGCTTGCCAGCCTTCCCCTGGCGAAGCTAGTTTTGTTCTGGGTGGGGAGCTTAGCTTCTTTTTGGCCCAAACAGGAAGTCAAGTTTATGACGAGCTGAAAAGATCCACAAGCAAGGCCTTAGTCTGGCCCAGTCTCACGACCCCTCCCTATGGCAGGGGCAAATCAGAGGTCAGATTATGTGAAAATCTGGCCCTATCATAGCTTCTCGTCCTTGTCTTCCTTCTCCTAGATTAAGTCAAGGGATCACCTGGGATCACCGCCGTCTTCCTGTGCGGAACCGCCGGTCGGTCGGTCGGTCTCGTGCTGTGCCTCGTCTCTTCTCAACACAGGGCTCGACTTGGACACGCCGAGGGTCTTTTGAGGCAGCGCCGGCATGGAGAACGGCCTAAGAGGAACCCGGATGCCACACGGTTCACGAAACGGGTTCACGAAACGGGCTCCAATGCGCATTTTTTCTACTGAGCTCCAAATTGTGATGGAACAAAGGATCAGGAAACAACCAAGCAGTAGAAACGGTAAGAGAATCTGAATGAGGAGCGTTTATGAGTCTTTCATCTTTGTTTCCTTCAGCCTGGCCTTGTCTTGACAGAGGGGGACTCAGACTCCCAACCCAGGATGTAGAATAATATGGATGTGACGTGTATTTAAATAGAAGAAGAGAAAATAGTAGACCAAAACCCATTTTTTGGGGGTTGGAGGGTCTCCCTATTCAAACGCACACCCATATCTTCTTTTCTAGGTATTTGGCCCATTGGTTGTCTTCATCTTTCTTGTTGCCTTTGGCATCCCCACTGACCTGGGATGCCCTCGGTGGCCACCCGAGGCAGCCGATGCCTGGCAGTCGAGCGGCATGAGCTTACTAATTAAAAACAAAAAGAAAACCACTCTCCAAGCCCCCAGAGTTACCCTACCCTGACAACTATGATTAAAACTATGACTCTCCCTACGGTATCCAGATCAAGAAACATTCCAAAACTCAGGAGTCCAGGCTCAAAATAGGACGGCTCCATGGACTTGGGCAAATTGATGTTTAAGTGGTGCCCCTCCGTTGAGACTTCAGCAGTCCGCAACGGTAGTACGGCATTCTTCGGCCCCGCTCCGCTGCACGCCGCGCGGCTCAGCAGCGTGCCTCTTCCGCCTGACCGTCCCATCGGACATCATAGCGAGCAAAGCAACCGGCAAGGCCGTGAACAGTAGCTGCTCGGCTGTAGGTAGCTGCTATGTTGGCGTCTGGCACGGTCAACGTGTTGCAGACTTGTTGCAAATGTTGTGCACAAAGTGTGCCTTTTTCCCATCGACCGAAACGTTGGACTGCATGAAGTCAACGGGTCACGTGGACAGGAAATCCCCTGACTGTGGGAGGTCCTCCGTGGAGCTCGGACGCTGTGGCATTAAAAACAGATGTCGGGCCTTTCATGTTGACAGCACCCTCGACAGGGAGGCTCCAAAGACTGGTTCCTCTGAGGCGGTTGGACATATGCGGATCCCATGACAATCCCATGATTTGTCCTTGTCTTGAGCCATGGAAACGATCGAGCCTTTTGGACCTCTCGATTTGGGACAGCCGACGAGCGAGAGGGAGGGTCACAAGAAATCACAAGAATCATGGACCACTAAAGCACTTGAAGGATGTTTTTGGGGTCACTACAAGTGTTGGCTGTCCACCTATATACACAGGATTCCAGTCGATCATGAAGGTTGGTGAAAGGCTAAATGTGGGTCAGGTGGACACCGGTGGACACCCAAAGTTGGTCCAAACGAAGAGCCAGAACCACTAGGTTCCAAAGACGTCTGAAAAATAGGGTCGAACCAAAGGGTTGGTATTGAAAAATAGCAAACCTGGGTTACCGTGAACCCGGGTTCACTCATGCATGGGCGACAAGATCTTAGGCTGCATTCCTTGCACATGATGCCTTTCAACTCACAGTGCCGCCGCTATCTGCTGATGCGTCAGTTTGCTTGCACCAAACGAACTGTACCACAAACAAACGAGCCTAGACGAGCCAAGACTGCATTTTGATCAGGAGCCCAAGGTGTAGACTTCCTTTTTCTTCGAGTGCAGGTTAGTCCATATAGAGGTCGGTCAGTTGTGGCTTCTACGCGTAACCTAAATATGGCTTCTGCAACACGTTGTCGGGGTGGGTTGTTCAGATCGGCTTCAAGTCTTAAAGTCGGGATGGTTTGGCAAAAGGAAGGGGTTCCTGATCTAATGTAAAGTTGGGTCGTCATTCAAGTTAAGTCTTCTACTCTTCAAGATCAGGATCTTCTAGTCTTCAAGTTAAGTCTTTGGGTCGTCATTCAATCCCATGACTTGGATTGATGCATATCCGATCCCGAGACTTGGGCCGGCGGTCCGGGTCCCGAAACGGACCAAATAGCCCAAGAAGCGGTTCACCACTGTTGGCAGAACAGGGTTCTATGTGAGATGTTGACACAAAACATCTCACACTCACAAGAGAGGACCGGGTGTTTGAAATAATTGAGGCTATATAGGTTCTTGATGGTTCTTGAAGGCCTTGGTAGCATTACATAAATTGATGATCGTCCGCATGCTGTCCCCAGCGCCACTCGTTTCGGGCCATTTCTTTCTTTGCGCGACGTCGTTCGGGCGCGTGCGCGAGGGTAAATACTACTGGCAGTGACATGACATCTATGTGCATATGATAGAAGTGTGAAAAGCACACTAGGCTTCAGTGTTCTGATTATGCAGCAAGGTGGTGCAGTGCAAAGGATTTGCGGGTGGCCAGTTTTAGGCTAGGCTAGATATATAAGTCCTAGGTGTCTGTTCCATGAATCCTCTGGCAAAGCATCCTGTGTCCTGGTATTGTTGACCCCACATCACAATAGTGGCACGCCAGCTGATGGAGTGCTCGGCTTGGGAGTATTCGACATCCTTAGCGCCAAACCATTCCGAGTCTGACTCGTAAAAGTATGTACTGTCAAAGTGGCCTTTCATGCAGCGAGTGCGCACAGATATTGGATCTCTTTGGCTAAATGAAATAGTTCATACGAAAAGAATGATCCCACCCAAATCACGCTTTTCATTGGGGTTTCGTCCACTAGTGCATCCCCTTAATTTGCCTTTCTAAGGTCTGTATGTGAAGATGAAACAGCAGGTACAAGTACAAATTGAACATAATAAAAATGTGTCCCTAAGGATCAAGGACCCTCAAAGGTGAAGGTTTTGAGGGTCCAAACCCCTGCTATGCAGGGTCAAAACCCTCCATAGGAGGGTCCAATGATCCTTAGGGGTACATATGTATGTATATAAAACATGTGTTCACTTCCCGGGCCAGTGCGTGTTAGTCCGAACTTCTTCGGCCACGAAGCTATGCGAACTAGCCAGCTGGGCGGCTTGATTTCGGAAAAGGTCTGGAAAGGCTTCTTCACATGCAAAAGCAGAAAATCTGTGCAATTTCACATGCCAAGGGTCTGAAAAGGTCCGTTTTCCCAAGTCAGACTATGACGTGGCCATTTTTTATCTGCTCCGTCCATTCCGGACGGGGGAGTTCGTCCAGACCGTCCAACGGAACCGTCGTTGAGACCGCCCGGTTCCCCGCGGGGCTGGAGGATCCGAACCCAATGGTCGCCTCAGCCGCCCTGGCTGCCTGTGGCGCCACCGGGGGAGCCATGGGTTTGGAGCCAACCTTTGTCCCGACCAAAGTGTACATGACAAGTATAAAGTCATATAGTGGAACAATGTAGTACAACAACATTCAACAAACTATAGTTTGCGAAATCCGATTTGCATGAACGAGGAAGTTTCTGAAACCACTAGTAAACGAGTAGGACACCACATGAACCAACCGAAGGCTCCATTGATCTCGCTGGCACAAACCACACGAATGGTAAACAGTGCAGAAACCACGCAAAAACTTGTGAGGTATATATATATGTGGTGTATCTAGGTATCCCAGGCATCTCTGATTGAATTGGTCCAATCCGCATCAAAGATTGGAATCCCGAGCTGAACCCGGTGATTCTGTCCCAACGGAACTCGTTGATGGTCCGTGCCTCTCGCAACATTGCATTGAAGTCTTGCTTGTCTGAACCGCTGGGACCTGCCCATTGGCCGGACGGAAGAACGGACGCGTCGTGGCCGGACCAAGTCGATGGCCCAAACGCTTCGGTTTTGGTGGTTGAAAGCTTGCCTTTTCTCAACACCAAGTCTCTAAATGGCTTAGTAAGATGACGAGGTGGGTGCTATATTTTATCCAGAGTCTCTTTATTTCAAGCATAACCATGAAACGGTGGATTTGTTGCAGCAAATTGCTATAACTGAAGGGTGGTGTCGCTTCCAACAGCTAATAAATACAAAACAATACATCAACAAACTATTTACTCTAAGTCCAGAAAACATCTAAAAAAAACGAAACGCAAGTGTGATGAGCCCGTGAAACAACTGTGAACCTCAACCTGTGATTGAGGTGGCTAGACATCCCAAAGAACCCATTCCGCAAAAATTGGGTCCATGGCTGCTGCTATTGGAATTGGATTTGATCATGGTTCCGTGACGGAGAGTTTGATCCGTCAAACAACAAACAGCAACCACAAACACAACTACAACAACCACCACCACAACAACAACCATTGCTCTTCTTCTTCCTTCTTCTTCCTTCTTCTTCTTCTTCTGCTTCTTCTTCTTCTTCCAACGCTGAGAAATCGTTCTTGTGCCACCAAAGTCAGTATGTGACTAGTCCAACAGGCAGGAGCTATTTATTCAAGAGTGACACGCCGTGAGAGTAATGCAACCCAAGCAAAGGCGGCTATTAGCCAAAATGCAATGTCAATTGCATGGCTGCTAGGTTCTCAAAATCAGGGTCACTCTGATTGGTCTCAAAGTCTTTGACAGTGACCGGAAGTGACGGAGACCAACCGAAGGCGGACGGTCTGGTGAGAAACCACTGAAACCTTTTGGACATGAACCGCAGGAGTATTGTCATCAGAAAGCCACCACCGATGTCCAAACCATCAAAGAAGAAGCGGACCTCTACGAGTAGCACGTCGGCATCATCTATCGACCAAGGACAAGACATTTTGGTTGATGTGGACAAAAAACCGCTCGTGTGCCCACATCAGGGTCACAGTCAAAGTGGGTGGTTCTTTGTCGACTTCATCCATTCCGTCCAGAGCTGAACAATGGGTGAGAGATCAAAAAATACATATTTAACGTATCAATGAAAACATATTCCACACACGTAGCAGTAGCAGTAAGAGTAGTATTAGTAGTAAGAGTAGTAGTGTCGTAGTCGTGGTCGTAGTCGTGGAGAAACCGGTTCATTTGAGCCCCACGCAGCTGGACTCACGCAAAGAGTGCAACAGTGCATAAGCGGATGTGGCAGCAAAAGCTCAAAAAGGACTAAAAAACTTGTCGAATCAACAAAGGACCAAAGGACCAAGGGACTAGCGGACCAGCGGACCAAGAAACTAGAAGACCAGCAGTCCGCGGACCAGCGGACCAGCGGACTGCAGGGACCAGTGGACCAGAGGACTGCAACGACCACCTACACGACTGGGAACAAGGGATTTCACTGCACAACGAATATTTTTTGTTGATTCAGTAAATATTGTTTTTTGGTTCGGTGAATCTGAATATGTGTTTATTGATTCGATAAATATTTGTTTCTTGATACCTATGCCCTGAACAATCCCGGGCTGACTCCTGCCAAGGTGGCAAGTCCTCCTTTTGGATCGTGTGGCCAACTCTTGTAGACGACTCCTCTCAAGCGGTGTTGGATTGAGGCAGCCTGCCTGCACTCAACAACCAAACACTGTTGAATCACTCCGAAAGGTCTTGCAGGCATCATCTGCGGTCCCAGCCGACGGCAGCATAGATCCCTAGCAGCGTACCCAATGTCAGACAGCAAACATGTGTGGCGGGACTCAAAGGGTAGTGAGAATTCAGCCTGTAAGTGGCACACACTGTCTGGCTAGAGAGTCAGCCTGGGCTGACGAGTGCAACTGGTCAGTTCACCATGTGTTCCGAGCATTCAAGTTGCGCCGCTGAAGAATGTCTAGCAAACGGCCTTGGTCGGGGATGCCTGGGACCGGATACTATTGCCCTGCAAGGAGCAAATTGTCATCCCGCCCGACTATCAGCCTGGAGACTAGAATTGAAGTCAACTGCAAGGACCAATTGGTTGGATGGGGGATTCCATTCAATCCCATTTACTTCGATCATGCTGGCTTTGGGCCGTATGGTGATGTGCGTTTTAAGTTTTGATCTGCGCAAATCACATCAAAGGGGCGCTGCTGGAAAAAGAGTCGAATATGCACGAGAGGCCCTGCAACGACATCCGTCCACCCAATGTGGTCTCCGGCACAAAAATTCCAGCCATGCACGCTCCTTCGGCCGATGCCATCTGGTCTCCACGATCAGAAGCATCTGGAGGCTTTGTGGGGTGAGTGAGCCCGCCTGCAGTCCATGTTAAGATTCTGCAGTGATGCCTGTGGCGGTGTGGTTCGATGGTGTCCCAACGATGCCTGTCCTGCGCTGTTAGTTTCTGCATGGGCAATGGTGGCTTAGGTCGCAAAAAGCGTCCTAAATGGCGGGCAGTCATCATCGCTTGCGTCTGTGCTCCACGAAAGCTGCGTTGATCCTATCAATAGGACAGTCTCAGGTGGTGTAAAACCACGAGTATTCACGGCTTCACCAGTAATCGAACACTGAACATATGGAGGAGCTCATGGCCCGCCGGTAACCTTTGTTCTTGGTTTGCTGCTTGCTTGGTGCATGGGAGACGGAACGTCAAGATTGAATCCGAGAGGCGCCACTAAAGCTTCAAGAGGCGAGAAGGCGGCCCAAAGATCCCAAAGCCGTACGCCCACCGCTTCAGAAGAAAACACATGCAGCAAGGCAGCGCTGCATGATGCTTTTTTTTCACGCGCTGCGTGGGGGACGCGGCGTGGGTGATCCGATGCACCCTCGTCTGAGAAAAGCTTCACCACCACCACCACCACCAACAACAACAACAACAACGGCGACGACAACAACAACGACGACGACGACAACGACGACGACAACGACGACGACCACTACAACGACAACAACAACAACAAACACAAACATAACACGAAACCAGAACCACAACAAACCATTTGACTTGGGTCCTCTATGAATCCCAACCCGCACCTGGTGCTTCAGCTTTGGGCGCTGCAGGTGCTACGGGTGCCGGGGCAGGCGCCGGCGCGGCCACCTGCAGGGAGGGCGGCGGTGCTGGAGGCGCCTGCGACCTGGGAGCGGCCCCCGTCGTCCGAACGACCGAAAGCTCCGCGTCTTTGTTTATTGGTGGTTTTAGCTTTGTTTCTTTAGTCGCGCTCTTTCCAAATGCAACTGGACCAGCTGCCCAATGCGAAGGACAATGTCCCTTTTTCAATTCAAGAGTCTGAAGGCAGATTTTGGTGGTCCGAGTCCACCCTGGTCCGCTTGCTTTCTTTCCTTCGCTTTCGCTTGCTCTTTCTTTCGCTTGAAGAACTTGAGGGATGGACACAGATGGAAAGAGATGGATATATAATATAGACTTCTAGAAGTTAGAAGGGACCTCCGAAGATGCTGCATCCCCCCAAAAAAGATCGAGCTCTTATCCACAGCCTGCCATAGAGATGGATAGAGTGGAATGCCAGGAGTTCCATCCGCAGGAACATCAAGTACAATGATTCTGAAAAGGCGGGCCCCATCAATTTCAACCCAATCTTCGTATCACGGTGTGTCTCAAACCGAAAGAACATCAATAACAAACCTCTTGATTGGATTCGATGAAGAAAGTTGACACGTGCAAACATGCTGCCACGCTGCGAAATTTGGCAATCTACTCAAACGTCTACAAAGTGTTTCAATGTAACATGTACATCGATGCATACATCTTTAAATAGATGGGAAAGTGAGTCCCTTGTCAACATGTCGTGTTGCACATCAGTTCATCTGATGGGGCCCCATATGCAGCAAATCTGACCTTCTTCAGTGCCATGCGCGAGACGCTCCGTTCTCCATGAGTGAAACTAGATGCCATGAAGTCTTTGTCATGGCATCCAGCCAGATGTCTTCACGTACGTGGCTCCTTGAGAGGAGTCACTGAAGTAAGTTTGGGTGTATTTCAACGGCTGCAAGTGGACAAAAAATGACAAACACATCCTCTCAAAAACCCATTGGTTGGGTGGCGTTCCTCGAAAAACAGGGCTACTATGGGCACAGGGACCTTAAACTCCAGCGCTTCTCTTGGCGCCTTCTGAGCTACTCGACGCACCCAGAGACATTCCACATATGATGCTTGCACTTCCAAGCCATGTAAAGCTTCAAAGCACAATAGAGCAGAAGACAAGAGTTCACTGTGTTCGCAACTGCCAGAAGAAGAAGTCTATGGAATGTCTGCCTCTTTGTTTCTTCTATGTCCTCCTCCTCCCTTGCTTCATGTTTTCCTTGCAAAATCAAGGATGCAATTCTGAACGCCTTGTAGTTTTCAGTGTACGCCACAAACATGGCAACTGGAAACATCAGGGCAATGTTGACAAATGACAAAGGCGAGGGGCTTCCAGCCGCTGCAGCCTGAGCTGAGAAGATCGTGATTTGTAGATTCATCATGACTGACCCCCGAAGAACTCCTTGCATCATGAAGCGTCCTGAGACTCGCCGAAGTTCCAGAAGTTGGGCATCCACAAACCACTTCGACATCGTCACATCAATGTTGGCATCATCATTGGATGTCAAGATTAGCATTGAGCCACCGTCTGAGAGAAACTTCAGTGCTGTCCTGCAACTGACGTCGCCATTCCAGCAGGTTGCATACTTGTAAATCTCCTTGGATGTCTTAATGCTATAGTCAACATTGCAGGGATCTTGCGGTAAGGTGCACACTACTGCCACCAATGGCTGCGAAAAGACTACCCCATAGGCAGCTAAGACTTTATTCTCAAATCCTCAGCACCTGGTACCCAAGACACAAGTGATTCTCGAACGGCTTCCACCCACAGCTGTGCCAAAGATGGTGTAGCTTCCACATCTTGATTTTCAGACAGTGTCTTCAATACACAAGCAAGGACAAGAACGTTGCAAACAACGGATGCCTTCATGAAAGAACTCAGCAAACCGCGGATCACCAACCAAGGCAAAAAAATAGATTGATAGCCAAAGAGTTCAAAAGGGCCATAGCTGTTGAACTGCGGCGCAACAACGTAGTGAAAGCTTCGCAGCTCCAGTAGAAGTGCCAGAGGAACCAAAAGAAAGGCACCTGCCTCCACCTCCCAAGGAGCTTTGCTAATGATTCCACTGGTTGCGGAACTTGAGGCAGTCCCGAAAACCACCAAAGCACAACTCGTCACCAAACCCCAAAAAACAAAGACTTCACTGAAGGCGCAAAGAACTGCGGGGCCTGCAGTTTGGTATTCCTTGTCAAGCTGCACAGTCTCCTCATCAGGCGCCCATGTAGGGAGCCAACTTTGAAGCTCTGATGAATAGGCATACGAAGACCAGGAGGATCTTGAGAAACAGGAGGATCTGGAAACACAATGCATTACGTTCAAAGTCTTAAAACTTGCAGGGTCTTCTTGCAGCCATTGCTTGTGAAATACGAGGGTTGTGCCACATGTACCACCGCAGCTCCCGGACTATGTTCACAATCATTTCTCGCAGGATCAATGAATAAGGCTGACCCGAACGGCATCACTATTTGTTCAAATATATGCTGGCAGCTTCTATACGGGTCCTTTTCATTACTGCTGTGGATGTGCGCTTGAAAAATGTCGCAAGTTGAACTTTCTCCTATCGTCGTGCCTTGCTCGAATGGTTCTTATTGAACCTCTTGAGCTGCGTCAAGTTGGCAACAGCTCCGACTGGATTCTCGAGGTGTCAACAACATTGGAGCACTTTTGCAGCTGCAAACAGGTAGATGACATCGCGATGCACTTGGTTTGGCACCCAAACGATTCCCAGGTACCTACTGGGACGACCATCCCTTTGAAGATGAAAGTGACATCGGAAGTTGCTGGACCGTGTGCACTGGGCTTGTTCTTCAATTCAAAGATTCCCCGACGTGGAACATCTACGCATAATATTGGCTATTTTCTTCGAAGAATCTTCGAACAGTGTGTGTATATATATATATACTGCAATACTGTACAATACAAGCATATGAGGAATGTTTTCAGACTTGTCAGTACTAGTAAGACGCTACAGAGGTACCACAGAAGAGTAGCTTCTCAGTTGGTGCTTCCATTCTTCTTTCACCACGTTGGGCTGGCCCCCCTGCCCGACTCAAGACGCTTGGTGCTGTGGTCCTTCTTGGATCGATCTCCAACAGACATGGACAAGCCCCAGTTTGGATATATTAATGGAGGGGCCATGCACGTCCAAGATATAAATAACTATAAATATATGGAGTCTTATGTGAAGCGATATGCAAGGTATCCAGATATCCCTTCTTGCTCACAGCAACCTTCATCTTTTGGGCCCGGTGACAATTGAGGAAAGGTGGCTGGCGGCGCTGCATGCGGGGGCCCTGACAAAGCAGACGGTGCCGAAAACAGGCAAGGCGGGAAACAACACATCCGAAGCAGTTGGTAGAGTGGTACTGTTTTTGTTGGCCTCCCATTTGCCAACCTGCAGTTTGCAACTGGGCAAACAAGGGAGGATCAATGACCTACATAATTTACTGTGTTTCGCTGGTGGACATTGCCAAACCCTGGTCAACCCTGTTGACATAAGCTGAATGTGGTCGAGTTAGGCACGATATCCCACAACCACCGAGTCACAGTTGGTCGTCACCTACTGGCTACACAGTGCACATGTTTCAAGCCAAGCTCCAACACCAGCATATTAAGCATATTGAAACGAGCTAAACCTCAGGTTCCAAAACAAAAACTGACTGTCTGTGGAAACAGTTTCTGGGTCTTCTTTGCATTTGCCGCTGCCAATGTTTTTTGTCATTGAGCCTGCGTCAACTTCGGAAAGAACCTTGTTCTCATTTCCAAACCAACGGGAGATGTCCCTGCCTAGTTTAAAGGAGGGGATGCCGCAACGCCCTCAATCTTCTAAACAACTTGGGGAACGAAAACAGGCAGAGCCTTCGGCAGACTCACATGTTGAGAGAAACTCAAACGGTGAGAATTGACCCCAAATGGCCATGTTGGTCATGGAAGCTTGGGCAATCAAATGGTCAAAAGTGCTGGAGGACGCTGGTGGCGCTGAAGACGGTGGTTTCAACCCGCTGCATCGCGTCTCCAGACATTCCAAGAGAAGAACCCTGAGCAAACATGTTGAGTGCATCATAGTGTATCCAGGTGGCCTGGAGTGAAAACTTAGCCTTCCGAGAGCATTAGACAAGACAAATGCTGACCTGACGTTGATCATAGTGCATCCCGGATGCTATCCGCCGTGGCGTGGATCTTCGCATCGACGTGGCGAACCACGCCACGTCTGCGACGCCGCTCGCTGCGCGACACCGCTCTCGCCCCGCTCCTCCAAGTCCACAGCCGCCGCCCGGTGCACCACCTCAGGAGACGCGCAGAAGGCGGCGGTGCCGTCGTTCCGCGCCGGATGGTGCACCGACAAGTGTGCGTGTGTGTGTGTGTGTGTGTGTCCACCCCTGGACAAAGGGTTTCGTCCAACTGATCCACCGATCACCTTTTCCACCTGTGATTCACATGCAGGGGCGTCCAACTGATCCACCGATCACCTTTTCCACCCGTGAGTCACATGCAGGGGAGTGGAGCAGGCCTGCAGAGCTCCACTTAACAAAGCTCTCTGCAGTGTCCTGAGGATATCGGCCAGGACGCTGGCCGACGTACCTGCAACCAACGGTTGAGCAAGCTGTTCCAATCACCTTTTTTGTTTCCATGGTCGTTCATGATACTCCCCACAAACCCACTCTTCCCCAGCAGCTGCGCCGCCGGTTTGATCGTTTTGCCGCCGCTTTGAACGTATGAGTGCTTGTGTGAACAATGTTCAACAATACTTTTCAGCGGACTTTGCCACCTTGCCGTTCCCTCACCTTCCTTCTCAGCGTGGGAACTGAGTGTAACTGAATACAAGTGTCAGAGTGTGTACATGTGTGTGTGTGCTCTGTCACCTAGTGCAGAAAGGAAAGAGAAAACCTGCTTTTTGATGCAAAACCAAATCAAACCAAATCAGCAGCAGCCAGCGTCCGACCTTTGCATGGACACTGAACTGCTATTGAGTCAGAAATCACGTGACTCACAGAACTGCTGTTGGATGGGCAGCTTTCTTTCTTTGGAAGCGTGGCCATACTACTGAAAAATATCAACATCGGCTGAAAGGCGAGTGTGGAACTGGCAGGTCATTCCAAAGTCTCAGTTCCAAACCAGCTGCGGAGCTACGGAGCTCGTTCCATTCTTTACACCGCGCATCTAGACATCACGAATCTGCTGGATCGTTTGGTCCCATGGCTCACCCGGTTCGTGGCGACGACCGTCGACCGACCGTCGCTGAGTTCTGGTACCCAGCCCGTAGCTCGGGCGCGGTGGAGAACCCATGGGACCCAAGCCTTCAGAACGAAACGGATCGATACGGATCGGATCGCTGCAGCGTTCGGTGGGAGCAGAAGAGAGCAGGTCCGGAGATGAGATGTTGGATGTTGGCGATGCGCTGACGAACCCGGAGCAAAGAATCCATCCCGTTTTGTTGAAAAGGGGATCAACATGGGTCAACCCATCTGTGGCCTACTGAAGATCACCCAAAGCAAAAACGAGGGAAGACATTGGGGACTGCCCATGTTTGCCTAGCCAGAACGAGTTACCTCACGACTATGAAATCTTCACGACGGCTTCGAAGGGGAGACCCCAGACGATTGCAGGGGGCAATCATTGAAAAAGGGGTCTTGATCATTGACACCTGGGAGACATAACAAATTCTATATAAGTGCACCTGGGCCTTGAGAAGCTCAATTGCAAAACTTAAAGCGTGACCTTTGAAGAAGAAAACATGTTCAAACACTTCTATCAATGCCAAAAACTATCAGAAGACAAGAAGAAGTGCTTGTCATTCTGCTCCCGGCCACTACCATTGCAGTGTCGCCTCTCTCCCCGCCTGGGCCCATGCCCGTCATGCCCATGTTGGGACCTGGCAGGGTCCGGTGGGTCTCAGGACTCACAGGAACGATGAACCTCCCCCCCAGGTGGGGCCACTTGTTTGTCACCACGGGGAGGCTCACCATGGTTCACCTCCTAAACAAAGAAAAGCCGCATTAAACATCTGTTGAGGCCGAATCAAGTCGGGACAGCGATTTGATGTAGGGCCCTACGATGCCGGGCTTCTCATGTTCAACAGTCCATGTGAGTCCACCTCTTCCCTATCTTGTACACTCACGTCTTAAGCTGGCCAAAGCACAGCCAAAGATTCCCTTGAGGCAGGGAAAAGCTTTAATGATTGGAGATGGACATGACAACTCCTTGCAGCAAAATCGCCTAGCACCGGAAAGTCATTTGAGTTGATGTGGGTCGGAGGAATCGACTGAAGCCGTGGTGTTCCCAGTTGGGGTTGTGTTGTTTGATCCACCTCTTTCAACATCAGGCAACGCAGCTGGATGCACCTCCACTCATGCCGCCCATGCCGCTCATGCCACCACATCCTGTGCCACGGGACCAGGGTCTGGCGTCCCTCGTTTATACGAGATCGCCATCAAACCCTTCCCGGTCCTTTTTGGGAAAGAAATGATGTTCTTAGTGCACCCTCGTTTCTGCTGTCTGAAGAAACATGGGACCCGTCTGACCGAAGCTTCACTCCTTTAATGCCCATCTGCAACTTCCTCATTGACAAGCTAGCGAAGGTGGGAACCACACACGCGACTCGACCTCCCTACGCTGTTCTTACAAAGTTGTTTTTCAGCTGTGACCATCAGCCCAAAACTGGTTTTAATATGATTGTGGGTGTTGACTTGCTACAATCTCAACACAACGACAGCATCAGTGATGTTTGTAATCTTTGCAATGAATAGCAATGACACGATTCCTCTTTGAGGCCTTTGTCGTTGGCTCCTGTCTCCTTGACATGAGGTATCCAGAATCTTCAGATCTTGGCCACGACTCGCAGCCAAACGCACCTCTTCGTACGTTCTTGCATATGGGATCAAACACCTGGATTAGGTTTCAACCCACTATACAGGGCACATCCTGAATATCAGCTTTCGTGCTGTATCCCAGCAGCAGTTCCACCAGCGAATGGCTCCTCAACCCCTAAAGCACACCCGCCTCCTCCCATGCCCATGTTGCCACCCATGTTGCCACCCATGTTGCCGCCCATGTTGCCGCTCATGTTGCCGCCCATATTGCCACCCATGGCCATGCCACCACCCATGGGGCCGCCCATTCCGCAGCCAGGGCCTGAAGTAGGCTGTGTAAGCCGCGGGTACAAAAGTGGGGGACAGGAGCAAATGCAATGCTCAGCTCTGATGCATGTCACTGGGCGAAAATGAAAGCCCACAAGACCGCAGCTGTTCACTTAAAGCCATGTTGGGGCCCTCTCGTGCTCCGACAGCGAAATGATCGAGTGGCTTCGTGGATTAGCAAGACCCAGTAAAGCCAACAAGGGTCGATAAGATCTCTCACATTGTTGACGACAAACCCTGTATTCTTGCCTCGGGAGAGAATACGCTCTTGGGACGCCGTGCAAAGGGGTATGCAAATATTCCTTTCATCCCTGCATCGTTTTGTCGACCCACTACCAATATGGCAATATGGCGGCAAACAGTCTATTCCTGAACAGTTCAACTCTCATCGATTCTCCCTCTGCCTCCAGACTGACAGCCCTTTTGGGGGTCCCAAATTGCCAAAGAGATTCATCATGTTCACCGGAACGAGGGAGTTGGCTTGTTCGATCTTCTTTGACTGGGAGGACACTCCGCGGGTAAACCGGTAGTCAATCGCACCTCCCATGCCACAGCCTGCCGTCCGCACGACTATGCAGGGCAGGTGAAGATGAACATCCATGGCATGTGAAGTAAGGAAATGAACCGTGCTCAAAGAGGTCTTGGATCCACTTGAGAGAGGAGGGGGTGAACGAAAGGTAGCAGGCAATCACAAGTAACCCTGGTAGAAGTCCATGACGGCGTGAACCGGCGCAGGGGGGATTTGATCCGGGGGGGGGGGGGCCCCCCCCCCGACGAACAGAATCAACTCTTACAGGACCAAACTCAATGCACAATCCCAACTCCTGATTGTAATATATTTTTGCTAAAGCAAGGAGAACTCAGGTAGCTCAAGCTACCTTTCGTGATTTCATTCAATTTCCATCTGCTTCCACACCTGGGATTTGGGTGAATCTCCTTGGTCTATTTTCTCAGTCTCCAAACTCAATCTCTGTGTTAGCAGGTAATGTTGCTGACATTGCCACAAAATGGGTTTACTGGTGAACCCCTGTCCTGTAGCTCGCCACAAAATGGCAGGGACAATGGTCACAAAAAGGTTTGTGTAATTTTATGTCACAAATATCGTAAACACATAAGTAGGAAAAGCTGAAGAGATGCGTATTACACACGTTGAGACATGGCAGGGGTGTGTTACTTTAGCAAGTCTTCAACAACGTGTTCACAGACCTGTACCAGGGCCACCTAAGGTGTCTATCAATTGCCCCTTATATAGAGGTTAGGGGGTCCCCATTAACCACCCCTTAGGGTCTCCTTGTACGTAATCTATGCTTGTTGAGCCAAGATGACTCCTCCACTGACCATTGCAAAAATGTTCCAGTTTTGATCACCCTAAAGCACTTGTAGTGAGGCCCTCATTTTGAGACGTGTGTGTGTGTGTGTATGTGTGTGTGTGAATGACACGTGCCCGTATCG